TAAATATAGAATAAGAAGATGTAGAATGTCTACATACAATATCCCACGGGCGCGAAGCTTTTGTCGGATCATTGTTTCTTTGTGAAAGTGCTCTGCATGCCACGAAACCACCTAATCCTGCGATATATTTAACAATTATGTAGCACTATAAATACAACTGACCATAATCATGAGAGGCTGCTGGTTTATGATGAGAAATCCCACCAATGGGTATGATCGCTGAATCAGAACCACCACAAAGCATCACATCCTTCAAGATTTAGACAAATGGGAAATCTATCACACAAGTTTCAACTTCTGCTGGTAATCGACGAGAGAAAGAGGCGAGTGACTTACAGCTTCACCTCGTATAATATGGTTTGCTGCATTCAGAATGCAGAAGTTGCTAGTTGCACATGCAGTTGAAATTGAATAGTTTGGACCCATCCAACCCTAAGGATCACAAGAACAGGGAATGTCCAATTTAATTTTTTTAAAAATATTCAAAGACAAATGAAAAACCATTTTTCCAAGAGTGGGTCATCTGGCACACCAGATCCATCGCAAGCATTGCAGATCCCATATTTGTGGTTGCAAAGGGTACACAGAAGGGGTTCATCTTCTTGTATGAGACTCTCAAAGCTTCAATGGCATCATTAAAGACCTGCCAGATGAAGTACTATCATAAACATAAAATTCACAGAACAGCATTATGCAGATGCACAACCCAACTTTGGTAATATGTGAAGTCATGGAAAATGTAAGATGAATCCTCAAATGTAAACAACTTGGTTCAAGTGCCAAAGTTAGAGCTTCCCTATTTGAATATGCTAAGGAGACACACACCTTCATCCCACCAATTGCAGACCCAATTAGAACACCACATCTTGTTTTCTCAAACTGGTTCATGACCTCTTCTGTAACTCCACCATCTTCCAATGCTTTTTTCCCAGCAGTAAGCATGTAAAGCATAAACTTGTCCATGCGCTTTGCTAGTTTAGGTGCCACCCACCCATCGGCAGAGAAAGATTTAATTTCCCCTGCGATTCTCTACAAAAGACTATGTAATCAGAAATAATAAAGCAATTCTTTAGCATAGTAGAACGGCCCCTTCGACCCCCCAAATCATTGAGTATAGCATAAACAGAATACAAAATATTCCTTATTATCTTAGAACATCAAGATATAAATTTGCTCAGTAGAGATTGTACCGTTGGATAATTGGAGCAGTCGAACGTTTCTATTTCGCTTACGCCACTAACACCCTCGAGGAGGTTATTGTAGAAGATATCTGGATCATGGCCTAGAGGAGTGACCACACCCATGCCGGTCACAACAACCCTCCTCTGTTTCATTTGCCTTTTCTTATTCACTGCGAGTTCCTTAGCTGGCTCCAAGGCAACCGCCATTGCTTTTCCTGCAGCGCAGAAAGCACGTTAGCCCAAAAACACGAGATTTCCGTAGAACAGCATCGCGTACATCGCTCGATGAGGAAAACCAAGTCATAATGCAGTAAGCAACGAGACTTGTCGATATGCCACGGCCGATGTTAGTTTGCCCTCATCCGCAACCACAGCCACCCTGCCTAAAACAAACAATTCTGCATGTGTCTCCATTCTTGTACCGTAATCATAGAAACATACCGGCAAACACGATCTAAGAATTGTTCTTGACCCCGATCGATCGAATCCGACGTCCAGTTTAACATTTACTCTTAATGATCAAAATACAAAGAAATTTAGAACGCAGATTCAAGTATCATGCACGATGAGCAAAGGAAAAAGATCTTTCGCCAGGGTCGGTTCGGTTGCTGATGTCGCTCCCACGGTTAACACCCAATCTTGAACCCAAATCTCCACGTACATCGTCTAATCACAAACCCAGATCTCCCAAACGAAAAGAGCGATCGAGAAATCATACCGAACAAATCAAGAACATCAGCAAATCAATACACCGATATCAAGATTCATTAGTGCCCTACCCAACGACAAGAAACAACCAAATGAGAAAGGAACAAAGAGAGGGTCAAAGAAACGGGGGAGGTTCGCGGATGCTGCACATACCACAGGCTGTCCTCCGCCGCCGTCGATTGGCCTCCGCCTTCGACAACCCGAGGGAAGGCGCGGCCTCGAAGGCGGGGCAGGAGCTCATCGGGCCCTGGATCCCGAACCGGAAGATGTCGGAATCCAGCGGGGGCCGAATCTCCGCCGTCGCCGTCGTCCGCCGCCTCCGCCTGCTCCCCGCGGCGCGGCGGCGGTCGCACTCGGCGGATGAGGACATGCACGCCGCCGCGACTAGCCGCGTGCAGAGGGGCGAGGCCACCGCCGCGCCCGCCATCGCAACGCGATCTCAAACGAAAGTGAGATAGAGATCAAGAAAAGATAGTTGGCTTATGTAAATATGTATGCATATATATATATATAAATGTGAGAGACAGAGAGAGAGAGAGAGAGAGAGGGAAGCTTATAAATGGACGTATAGAATAATACAAAAGAGGAAGGAGAAGAGGTTGATGATGGTAATATTGGAGGGGAAGAAGCGGAGGCGGAGGGGGAAAAAGAGGAAGAAGTGGGGGGAAGACACAGATGGGTTTGGGATGGTGGAGAAGACAGCCATCACTGCCAAGTGTGAAACAGAGAGAGAGAGAGAGAGGAAAAAGGCAAGACCAGAAAAAAATACTAGTGATAGAAAAATACAGTGTATATATATATATATATATATATATATATATATATTAAAGATGTATAAGTGAAATAAAGCATATATATATATATATATATATATATATATATATATATATCTTTATTTCGGTTAGACGGTTTTGCGACAGTTTGAATTCAATGCTTTGGAATCTAAAATATGCGTACAAAATTAACGCTTCAACATTAATGGCGTTGTCAGTGCGAAGCACATGAGATGATCGTAAGCGGTGGTACAAAGAAAAATTGAATTGAGAGATCATTTAATTGGTTCCATCGTTTGTTTCAGCCATTTAAGGGGTCCTACGACTACGACTAAGCTGAAGTACATCACATCAATCAATGCAATCCCAAAAACAACTTAAGCTGCTCAAATTTCTTTGGATTAAGCAACCTCCTAACAGAAGATTAGCAGCAGATCTCCGATCTCGATTTTTGTTCTCACGTCATTAACGTTTGATACCGGGAAGATTCCGTTTGATTAATTAAAGATTGGTGCTTTGAAAATATATAATTCAGACATCACGAGCATTCATGTTGATGAGACAATGACCGAGACATACGAGGAAATTATTGATAAGAAATATTTTGATGATCGATAATTGATCGTTATTGTGATGTAGACGTGGTAAACTAGGGCCAAGTCACTCTCTTACTCGATAGACATGTTTGAGAGATAATGATCTTTTGACCCTCGAGGACAGTGGTCCTCAGGTGGGCATTCAAGTTTGCTCTCCTTTGGTCGGTCTCTATTGACGATAGCTCGTATGAAATCATTCAGGCTTATTATCCATGCGAATAAAGCATCAAAATAAAATCATTATGATAGTTACTAACGATTCTTTCGATCGTCTAGATATAAAAGTTGATCCTCGACGTCGTCAGTGACATCTCATGTATAAACTCTTTCCACTCTATATCATCACGAAAAAAGATCAGTTAAATATCAAAAGAATCGAATCGAAAAGCTCCGTGAACCTACTGAGAAGTCCAACCTCGACTCTAACTTCTGGACCACTTCGGATCCTCGCAAGCCACTTCAAAAGTCCCATAAAGTGAGGGGAACATTAACGAGCCCAACAAAGTTGGATTCCTTCTTTATTTGGCTTGCACATTTTTACATGTCCTCATGTACACCGATGGTTTGGGGGCACAGTGGTGTCTTTAAGAAGGGGAGATGACAGTTGCATGGATTGAATGAGGATTAAATGGGGGACAGAGTTCGGACGGAGCATAGATTGAAAAGGACCTCATTGATCCCCTAATTCAAGACACCTTACTTGGCCTTTGACAGTGAATTCATGCCTTGGATTTGGCATCAAAACCCAACATAAATGTTCATTCATTTCCACTTAAATGCTTTTGCCACCCTCCTAATAATTAGAAGAATTATTTGGCATCAAAACCCAACATTAATGTTCATTCACTTCCACTTAAATGCTTTTGCCACCCTCCTACTGATTAGAAGAATTCAATTTTATAGCATGCCCCGTATGATTGCATTTAGTATGTAACTTAATTAGTAGAGATGATAGAATAAAAATGATTTTATATTCACTACTGATTATAATTATAATTATTGACAAAGATTACCAAACTTAGCCTAAATTATGTTACATTTACGTTCTAATTAGTCTCAAATAGAAATTAATGATTTCGAGTAAATAATAATTAACCTTGATTATTATGATTTGATAATTTTTAATAATAATAATAAATTTAACTGAAGAAAGTATTTTTATATTCTCATAATTTTCTCTTTTGCGCTGATATCTTTTGATTGGGATAAATATTTTTCATATCAATATATATAATAAACTAAAGTTTTATGTGTTCTTTTGAGCCATATGTTATATTTTAATCGTTCTATACTCAAATAAAACGGTATGATTTAAGAATTTAAGATCAAAGGTTATGTCTAAAGTCGTTGCAATAATGCTCTGTTAAATTCGTAAACCACGCGATCGGTAGGCGTTTAGCGGTCCGAGGAGAACACCGGGACCCACTTGTCGCATCCAATCAACGTAAAGGTAGACGCCACGGGAGGCGACGGCAGGGTAGAAGAGGTTTTGGTTTTCAAACGTCAGGGCCGAGTCGGGATGATCCAACGTACGTCTGACCTTTATTCCGAATTGGTGGGCCTCACAATAGTGTTCCAATCAACACGGAGGTAAGAAGAGGGTAATGGTGGGCCGGGTAGACGGGATTTAGTTTTCGGTTCGGTCTGTGAGCGGATGATAGTTGCCAACGGGTCCCGCATGGGCCCCGCTTTTTCTCCGCGACATCGAAGTCGGTGAAGCGGATGTGATAAGGTTGGTGGACAGCCATGAAGTCCCGACAAGCACATATAATTTCTCACATTGCTGCGCTGCTGTCTCTCGTCAACGACTCTCTTCCATCTTCAATCTCAAGGTAAGCTTTGTCCCCCCACGGCCATCCGATCTTTGTTAGGTTCCGACCTTCTTAAAGAGATCAAGCTTTCCGGCCGATCACATGAGATTGACTTGGAAGAAAACCTTTAGGAACCTGGCGAGGTACAAGAAGTGTGGCCATGATCATTAATACCTTCTCTGGATGAACGAACCTGTCGTCAGCTTGAGATCAAATCCAAAAGAAGATTGCTCTAGACACATGTCAACTTTTGGCCTCTGCAACTGAGTAAAAATGACAGGATTTCTTAGATTTCAAGCTTGTGGCTGCCCAAATTGTGGTGGTTCGTGGAACCCTCCTGTTATGGGTTTTGGTCCTCTGTGATCCAGCATCTTAGATTGCATACATGCTTTAGTAGATGAACTTTGTTACAGAAGAAAAACGAGGGAATGAAATGGATTTAAAGATGAGAACCAGTCTGAATCTTTGAACTCTGCTGTATACCAGGAGATATATTGCTTGCATGGATTAGGATGAGAGAGTTGCTCATTTAATATTGGTCTCTGCAGAAATACACCATGGAGGATGGCCCAGTGAATTTGAGGGAGTTTCAAGAGCTTGCCAAGCGAAATCTGCCGAAGATGTACTATGACTACTTCAGTGGAGGAGCAGAAGACCAATTCACCTTACGGGAGAATGTGGAAGCATTTCAAAGAATCATGTAATGCTACTGCGTTCTGCTTTCGACTCTGTCATTATTTTCGGAAGCAGAATGCTGATCTGATATCCTGTTATATAATATTCAGGTTAAGGCCAAGAATTCTTGTAGATGTTAGCAAAATAGATATGTCAACAACATTGTTGGGGTATAATATGTCGTCACCTATCTTGGTTGCACCCACTGGGAGTCAGCAATTAGCACATCCTCAAGGTGTTGATCTAACATTGAGTGTTATGAAGCACAAGTTATGCATGTAGATTCCTCCAGCACATCTGATTGCCAAAGTTTTGTTTATGTCAGGAGAATTGGCGACGGCAAGGGCTGCAGCAGCATGCAACGCAATAATGGTAGACTTGGTTTTGGCTATTACTTCTCTGCTGCTTTCATGGTGTAAAACGTTGTTCCTTGGCATAGGTACTGTCATTCGCATCCAATTACTCTCTCGAGGACGTTGCTTCCACTTGCAATGCTGTTCGCTTCTACCAGTTATATGTGTGCTCTGGTTTCCTGAATAAGTTGTTTGGTCCCCTTTTCGATACATTTTGTTTGCGCTTCCATTGTTTTATCACTTGTTCTTTTGAGCAATTCCTTCAGGTATTCAAGAGACGAGATGTTTCGGCGACACTATTGCAAAGAGCCGAGAGAAATGGGTATAAGGCCATTGTTGTAACAGTCGATACCCCGAGGCTTGGAAGAAGGGAAGCAGACGAAAAAAACAAGTAAGATTGATGGCCTTGATACTTCCAAACTTTCAAGGCATTTACTTGTGCCTTTTATCAGCATCAGCTGGTATTATTGTTATCGGTGTCTCGATGATTCAGTTATTATAACACAAAACTCCAATTAGTCACTACAGCTATTTTGTCATTTCAATCCTATGATGCACTATTTTGTCATTTCAATCTTATCGATAATAATCAGATCGCCGTCTGCAGGATGATTATACCAAGGAATTCGAACCTTGAAGGTCTGATATCAGTAGATGCCGATCTAGTGAGTATGGTGTATCTCATTGTCATTTAATCTTTTGAAGGTTAATCTACTTGAATGGAATATGCTTATACAATAGATAAACATGTACATGCGATACCATGATAAGATGAGGGATGATTCCCCACTACTTCATGCAAATAAAGCCTTTGTGCACTAACAAATGTGATTCGCCATGAAACCAAGTTGATATCTGAGGATATGGGCTAAAATTATCATCATTTTTTTTTTGCTACTTGGCCAAATTTCTATTTTGCAAATTGTAAATATGAAACAAAAGGTTTATGTATAAATCCAGAATAATCCAACAGAGCAGCTAATATTAAATTTTGTCAGAACATTGCACCGATGTAGAGTCAAATGGCTTGAACTTCCAATTAAACAAACAAAAACACACTCTATCTGGCACTTTCCTGGTGTCTTTCTTTAACTATAGGGATAGAATTCCGTAACTATAGCAAGGTATGCAATACTGTACCGTACCGGTGTTTCGAGGTTGGCTCGGTACGGTACCGGCGTACCGAGCGATTTTCTCTCACTGTAGCACTGCTGTAGTGTAACACTGTAGCAATATAGTGCTACTACACTGTATTACTGTAGCACTGTAGCACAGTCCGTCCGATAGCGAGCGGTCCGCGTACCGGTATGTCATTGGACCGGTATGTACCACCTATACGGGGTGGTACCATTCGAAATTGCATACCATGAACTATAGTGTAGATTATGTTTAGCAATGCCAATGTTTGATATGGATGTTCCATCATTCACTTGACCATAATGTTTAGCTCAAACCGTGCATGATAACAGTTAGAAATATATCTTTAGCTCAAATACACCAGGGCTTACCGAGCGATTTTCTCTTACTGTAGCACTATAGCATTGCTGCAGTGTAACACTGTAGCAATGTAGTGCTGCTATAGTGTATTACTGTAGCACTGTAGCACGGTCCGTCTGGTAGCGGACGGTCTGCGTACCGGTATGTCGTTGAACCGGTACGTACCGCCCATACCGGGTGGTACCATTCGAAATTGCATACCATGAACTATAGTGTAGATTATGTTTAGCAATGCCAATGTTTGATATGAATGTTCCATCATTCACTTGACCGTAATGTTTACGCAACTATAGAGACAAAGTGAGATGTTTGAAGATAGTTTTGCTTCAACTGCCATATATAATTCAGTGACATGCGATCATGCGGGAAAACGCTAGGAAAATAACAGAGTAGCAATTAATCTACTGCTCTACAACTATATTTCATCAAGCGGCGATTTGGATAGATTCCTTGCTCTACATTATCACACCCTTTCAACTAGGAAAAGGTGAATCTCATGCATTTTAATTCTTCTGTGTTGTTTGCTCACTCTCGAGTTTACAGACAGGTGGCTCTAAACTTGAGGCCTACGCATCTGAAACTTTGGATCCTTCTTTGAGTTGGAAGGTATACAGCAAACTTACCTCCTTTTTTTTTCGTAGATGAGATTCATTTAAGTTGGTAAGTAAAAGTGACATGCTTGGTAAGTTTCATTGCATTAACGGCTATATTATGGTCACATGTATGGATGAAAACTGAAAATATATGATGCAGATCTATGTAAGGGGAAAATTTGTTCTCTGTTATTTATGATTTTCTACACTAACTTGCGTATGACCTTTATATTTTTTGATGCAATTGATGGTAAACTAGGCATCTATTCATTTCTTAATATACTACCAGCTTGAAGATAATGGCAATTAAATCTATAATCCGTATCTTCCATCAGACCTTGGATTGTTCGTTATCTTTGCTAAATACTGTGTAAGAAGTTCTCGGCACACCAAAGTCATAGGAATATCTGAATTGACATGCAGTCATTTAAATGAATTTGAATTTTAAAAAAACATATATGGAGATTGTTGAAGTTTTTTTGAGCTTTTTGAACTCTCTTGAGAAGTTTGTGCTTGATGGAAGAAGGATTTGAGGGTGAATAACAAATCAGTGACATAGATATTGCAGGTTATAGCTGTAGTTTATTATTCCTACCTGTTTCTAATGGCAAGATTTGCAGGATATCGAATGGTTAAAATCCATCACAAAATTGCCAATTATATTGAAGGGTATCATCACTGCAGAAGATGGTAGCAATGTGTTCTTTCTCATCTCTTGGTTAAGAATAACACAGTGTTTGATAGTTCACTTAAATAGATCGAGCCATGTGGAGCTAAAACGTTTATGAAAATGAGCAGCTAGAAAAGCAGTAGATGCTGGAGTATCTGGGATCGTCGTCTCAAACCATGGTGGTCGCCAGCTTGATTATACACCACCTACAATATCTGTCCTCGAGGAGGTAGTGCTTTCATTCCCATCTTCTTGAAGAGAAGTTACTTCAAACTGGAAAAATCTTGTTTTATTTGAATGTTCCTATTGTTACTTCGAACTGACCAAAGCTCTCAGAGCGAGGAACAAAAAAGCAGCATGGATTGGTCGAAGGATTTGATGATTATGTTTCCTTTAGTGTTAAAATTTGTGAATTTGGCAGTTTTTGCTACTGCTTGGTTTTGATATCAAATTGTAAGCCTCCTGCAGGTAGTAAAAGCTGTTTCAGGAGCAGTTCCTGTACTGCTCGATGGAGGAGTTCGTCGTGGAACAGACGTGTTCAAGGCCTTAGCACTCGGTGCCAAAGCTGTAATGGTGCGTTTTCTTTGATCCTGAGAATAATATCAATTATCATTCGGTGTCAGATCTTGAGCACAATGTCGATCTTGACATTGACCAGCATGATATGATTCAAACGTTGTCGTGACTAATACATAGCAAATACATGTATACATTATTTCTGATGTTCATAAAATTTATAGATGAAACTTTGCTGAACCTTTGTTTCTACTTCTCTCTGTTCAATAATAAACAGATCGGAAGGCCTGTGGTTTATGGCCTTGCGGCGAATGGGGAGCATGGAGTAAGAAGCGTGATCAAGATGCTTCAGAATGAATTGGAGCTTACCATGGCCCTTGCAGGCTGCCCCACTCTCAGGGACATCACCAGGAACCATGTCATGATCAACCACGAGAGGCCGAGATCGCTGCTATGAATTGTGTGCCACACATCTGAACAAGGTGGATTAAAGTTCATCATGTTCAGATCTGTGGTCATAAATGTTCATTATGATGGATCATAAGATGCCGAGATCACTGCTAATTGTTGTCTTGTTGTTCCAATAATGGATGTTATCACTCTTCTGAGTTCTCTTTAGGGCTCGGCCCTTGTGATTTCGAACTTGGATTCTGTCGATGGTCGACACAGAAGGTTCCTGAGTTAATTACGCTTGGATGTTGTTGTCTTATAGATGTAATCTGTCTGGCTGAGTGGAGTTGCTATTGGTTTGAACATATGCACTTCAACAAATCAATGCTACTACAAGTTCAACTCTGCAATGGTGAACTTTTCCATGTCCATTCTTGAATGTGGTTAGCTACTTAGGCTTGAGTTCTACTTGTATAAGTTGTATTTTCGCTGAATTTGCCTCATTATTAAGCTCTTGATTCGACTTTCATCGTTACAGATTGATACGGACCTAATTTTAATAGATGGATTCTATTTTAGTAAAATTATATGAGCAAATGACTGAACCAAACATGTTATTGCTGCGAGAGTTTGTACTGTTGAGGAATGAATTTTTTTTCCTATTCGTACTTGTCTTATGCTCAAAACTATTATCGAGCCTCAGTACATTAATGACTCAATTATTTCATCAAATTAATGACTCAATTATTCCATCAAACTAAATGATAAGAGTACTCATTGCAGTGGATTGATTTGCTGGCGCTGCATCACCATTGCTGGGGTAGAACACATCATTGATGGAGAGCTTATGTATATTGAATAGTGCCTTCTACCCCATCGTTGATGGAGCTTATCTTTGTTGCATAGTGTAGTTCGGATCTGTCTTTTGATTTGAATCAAAATTGACTAAGTGGTTCAGGTACTAAAATCGACGATTTCGGTTTGAACTAATGGTTCCTAAATCGAAACCGACGATTTCAATTCTGATTTGAATCGACAATTCATGATTAATATATACATATATATATATATATATTAAATTTGTTAGAATGATTATTTTTTAATATATGTAATATCTCAGAATTGATTAGTCTAACATCTGAGTGCAAAGTAAAGTGCAATTAGTATGAGTTACAACTCAAATCAAAACAATTCCTGAGTAGTCCATTTTGGAGGCTCTTAAGTAAGTCATGATAATTATTTTGTGTCACCAATGCTCATTAGCATGAGTAATCAGAACACCTTTTATATATAGATCATAAGGTAGTCTAGAAATATCAAGTTATCTCAAATTATGTGTTGAGGTAGGGTTATTGCAGTGATTCAGAATTCAGCTATCATAAATTGCTTTTAAGAGTTATGGTCAAAGGGTTATAACATCTGTTGTTTCTCATTCAATCCTTAACCCTTAATAGATTAATCTTGACATATTTGTTACATGGGAAAGTAAAGTATTCATTGTGCCTTTGAGTCTATACAAAAGCCAGTTTTAGGAAGAGAGAACTCAGTATATTTTCACATCTTATTTTTATCTGTGAAGTGATGAGCATTTGTCTGAATATAGCATGACCTATAAGAATATATATACCCTCTGAACATGCAGTTCAAATGATTTCTTGAAGATTTTACAGGTAAATTTGTTCATTGTCTTCCATACATTGTTGCATGGTTATCAGAGTGGAGAGTTCTCTGTGATAGGGATTTCCTATCACCTTCTTGCACAAGTGTTACCATCAACTCACTTCTTGCACTTGTTCCCCTGACCTTTTTGGTGTCTTCCATCACCATATGAATCCAAGTCCCATGACATGGATTAAACTGGGTTGTATTGTATTTGTTGCAGGGCTCAGGTAAAGGCACACATGAGATGTTTCTGGATCCTAAACATGTAGTGTTCATCTCCTGTAGTTCATCATCCCCAACACAAACAAGTCCAACAAGCTCTACAGTGCCATGGAATGGCCATGTCCATAAATGCAGCCAAAGATGGTGTCAGGTGGCACATGATCACTGATGACTCCTTTCTGTCCTTTGTTCCCCACCACAGACACTGCTGGCTCCCTCCGGTTAACCTTTTTCCTCAGTTCCTCACCATTCACTCCTTTTCTTATTTATGGTCGAGTGCATCGATTGATTTGCTCCACTCCATCATTCCTCAGGAACAACAAACCATTGAATCATGTCATTGGGTTGCTCTTTGTCAGCTCCACTGAAACCTGTCATCAAACAGTCTGCATTTGATGTTTTAAGTTGAAGCAATCATCACACATTCCTTACCAGTTAGATGTTTTAAGTTACCCAGATGAACTTTCTGTGATTAGTCAAACATAATGCTATGCTCCTTCTTTGCCTGTGTTTAGCTGCAGCATCAGAAGTCAAAGCCCAAACCTTTTGTCCAGATCAAGGTTTGGGTATATCACAAACATATTCCTATGAATCACTATCCAAAATAGTTGAGTTAATGGCATGAAACAAATCTAATATATTCAACTTAGATATCGGATTGAACTGACATCAAACCACATTACGATATGTAATCTAATTCGGTCCACTAGTATACCCTTGTCTTTCATCATATATAATATTATATCGATTTTGATATTATTTTGTTATGATTCGATTTGTTGGAATAATTGACTCATTGAGTTTTATTTTTGAGACTCAAATCTTTTGACTCAAGATGATTAAGCTCATGTACCGTTTGATATGGGCGATACATTCGATAGAAGATTGATATGAGCGATGCACTGGTATGTTCCTATGAATCATGTGTCAATGTACTTAGTACGACTCGATATGGTTCGATACGTATCGTATCGATAGCTGATCAGTACATCAATATAAATCGGTAAGACAAACTATGATTATTGGAGGCATGGTTCATTGCTGTTACTTTAGCTGAGCTGCTATGTTCTTCCAACTCCATTAAACTGATGAACTCCTTTAGATTATTTTTCTCATCAATCATAAGCTATCAGTATCCAGTAGCTCTTCATGTCCAAACAATGGAAAGTGACCCAGCAACTAATCTCAGTCTTGGAGCACAAGTATTGATTCTTCCAAATCAGTTTCAGACATCCGAGAAGCCTAAGAAATAGGAGCGGTTCAGTTTATCTTAGACATCATAATGACAAGGTTAAGGTCATCAGAATAGTGACACATTGAGACATGCTGTTCAGCTGCAGACAAGTAGCTTGCTGCAGATTAAGGATGTTTCTAGTGGTACACAAGTCAAAGAAGAACTAATCATTTTTATTTGATTAATTCCTCAATCTGAAAATGAAGTTGATCTCAGTTGCTCACCAAGTAAACCTGAAAAGAATTTTGATACTGTAAGGATAGAAGTTCTCTAGACATTCATTTTTAGCAAACTAATTTCAAATGAAAAATGGACTTATAGGCTTCAAACTATGAAGGTGATAATTAGTCAAATATATTCATCTGTGGCATCACTACTAAATCAAAATAGAGAAAATACTTGTATAATTTTTACAAAATTTTTAATTTAACAAAATATGACCATATATTATCAACCATTTCATTTGAGCAATTGTCTTTTAGTTGATGCTCAAAACCAGTTCTAGAAGAGCTTTAGGATCTTGACCAAGTAAACTTACAAACGCTTTCTGTTCTTTTCTTTTCTTTAGAAAAATAGTCTCCAATTCTTAAAGTCAATGGCACAAAAAAAAAAAAATAGTAAACAGGATTTGAACTAATATACAATCATAAATGTAATAATTTATTATTCAATTCAAGTTTGATGAGTTTGGTTTGATTTCACATGTTAGACTTGAATTAATCCATCACCTATATGTGAATTGTTGAAAATATAAAAGTAATTTAAGCTTTTGGATAACATTTAAGAAATGCAAAGAGATACTAGAAAAACCCAAATTGTTTAAGGATCATAGTCTCTGATTAGTGTTAGATGAACAAAGTAGGAGATGCAGATGAGAAGCCAACTGATTGGCCTAATCATACCCAACATAGTAGGAGATGAAATCTTTAGTTGGCAATTCATATATCCTGTGATTGATGGGACATGTGTCAAATCACACATTGATAGCTGACATTTGCCTGCACCAATTGTGTTCTCTACTTGCAAGCTGGAATTGAATGAAATTAGCCTTTTTTTTTCTTTTTATTATTGTGGATGAGATCAATAGAGCCTCTTCATCCTCAGCTTTATCCTACCACATGCTTCCAAACCTGTGTCATCAAACCTCAAGAACACAATCATGACCTTCTTCCCAGAAAACTTACCCCCATGACAAGTTCTGGTGGAGATGAGTGCAGACAAAGCCAGAAGGGTTGCAGATATGCTCAGAGTTGTTGGCAGGAGTTATCCACAGTGAGTGAATCAGAGGGGGGGGGTGAGATGTGTGGTGGCCATGGCAGGAGAGCTTTGAGAGAGATGGCTGTTGGGGTTTGTGGTGTGTGATGAGTCGAGTGCAGCTGCATGGTTTGGGGTCATTGTCTTGTAGCTTAGTACCATAGATGACAAGCTTCTGTCTCTTTTCCTCACCCACAACATGAGGGGTTCAGAACTCTGTCTGCTGCACTTGGTGGTTGCATCTCCTTTCATGCAGGAAAAAGCTCAGCTTCATTCTGTATATGTACTTCTTTACTTTTTTTTTTTTTAATTCATTGTAAATATTTTGATTTACTGGTCAAAAATCTTAAACACTTCTCAGTACTGATTAAATACCAGATGAAAAAAAGAGAGATTAATACAGTATCAAATCCACAATATACACTACCAAGAATCATAAAACCTTAAGCCACTAAGAAAAGATCCAATATGTATTATTAGGTTTTGAGAGGAGCTCTAAGCAAAAACAAAATAAGAAAAAATTATATATGATGATCAAATTCTATAGTACTAATTCAACATGAAAATTCAAACTTGTCAAAAATATGAGCCAAAAACTAATATTATCATCTTTCAATTTTTTAACTCACACATGTTATCACTATTCAAGGGAAGGGATGATAGGGCAGTGAAACAATATGTGGTGGACTTTTTACATATATATATATATATATATATATATATATATATATATATATATATATATATATATATATATATTTAATCATGTGAGTCACAAGGTTGAATCACCATTGGAGGAATGCAACTAATTTCTCCAACTGTGAAGCCAAGATCACAAATTCCACTATATTATTAATCCTCTTACAGACTAAACCTCTATGTGACTAATGTTTGTCACATCATCAACTCACTGTTTTGGGAATTAATGCAGTACATAAATGGTTACCAAAGATATCAACTAATTTAGTGGGTAAAGATTTATCATAATGTCTTGAGCTCGAATTATTATTATTATTATTATTATTTATGTAAAAAGAAATATAAACAAGTTATATTACT